ATTCATGCACATATTTTTCAGCCCCTTTGTGGTCCGAACTGGCAGCCTCACCATGCCGTATCACACTATGGATGCCACTAAACCTTCTTAAATCTCTCAAACCAACCTTGCTGGCCTTAAATTCACTCACATCATCACTAGTTGCAGGCATTTTTTTAATTAAATCGTCATGCCCAATTCCTAGCCTTTTCACATATGATCGCTTGAGAGACGCTTTCTCCTGCTAGCTGTTTTTCATTTATCCACACCAATAACAGTCTCTCAACATCTTCCATCACTTGCGATCTTTGTTTCGAAAACACAGTTAAACCTTTGGCAACAACAGCTTCCTTGATTGCCGTTTTCTTGCCCACAATAAAAGAGATGGTTGATTTTGGTTTCTTGTACAACCTGACCGGGTCAGTGATACGTACTCCACTTTCTATTTATCAATGATCTCTTTCTTCATTTAAATGGGTATTCTTACCCTTTGAGGTGTGGGGGTTTGGCACTAGAAGCTTTCTTGGGCCCATGGTCACTTATTTTCCAGAAACAGCACCGAAAACACTGAAAATAATACGAAATATTCCAAATGTATGCTTGAATGTTACCGGGGAGGCTGGCTGGTAAACAATGGGACGGGGGGCCATGTGAGGCTGGCTGAGGGCGCACATTGGACGCGTCTCGGGACGAAGGCCGCTGAGGGGTTTTTGTCCACTATGCGGGGCAAAATTTTAGCGAACAAAGCGTCCGCTATGCGGATTGTTCGCTATGCAAGGCGTTCGCTATGGGGGGTCCACTGTATATATATAATATATTATATATATATACAGTGGACCCCCGGTTAACGAACTTTTTTCATTCCAGTAGTATGTTCAGGTGCCAGTACTGACCGAATTTTTTCCCATAAGGAATATTGTGAAGTAGATTAGTCCATTTCAGACCCCCAAACATACACGTACAAACGCACTTACATAAATACACTTACATAATTGGTCGCATTTGGAGGTGATCGTTAAGCGGGGGTCCACTGTATATATATAATATATATATATATATATGTATGTATGTCATAAGGGGCAACTGAAATGCTGAGAGCAAGGGGCTAGTAACCCCTTCTCTTATATATACAGCCTCTCCTCACTTAGCGATGTACAGTGGACCCCCGGTTTGCGATAGCATCGGTATCCGATAAATTCGGTATTCGATACATTTTAACGCAAAAATTTTGCCTCAGTTCCCATTAAAAAACCCGGTATACGCGATTCTTCTGACACGTGTCCACATGTGGCCTGAACTGCCCCATGTGTGCCAGTGTTTACAAGCCAGCCAGTGCAGTCGCATCAAAGGATACATTCGGTACATTTCATATTAATCATGTTTTTGTGCTTGTTTCTGCAAAATAAGTCACCATGGGCCCCAAGAAAGCTTCTAGTGCCAACCCTTCGAGAAAAAGGGTGCTAATGACTATTGAAATGAAGAAAGAGATAATTGCAAAGTACGAAAGTGGAGTACATGTGTCGGAGCTGGCCAGGTTGTATACAAAACCCCAATCCCAATCAACCATCGCTACTATAGTGACAAGGAAAACGGCAATCAAGGAAGCTGTTGTTGCAAAAGGTGCAACTGTGATTACGAAACAATGACCACAAGTGTTAGAAGATGTTGAGAGACTCTTATTGGTGTGGATAAATGAAAAACAGATAGCAGGAGATAGCATCTCTCAAGCGATCATTTGTGAAAAGGCTAGGCAGTTGCATGACGATTTGGTAAAGAAATTGCCTGCAACTAGCGGTGATGCGAGTGAATTTAAGGCCAGCAAAGGTTGGTTTGAAAGATTTAAGAATCGTAGTGGCATACATAGTGTGATTAGGTATGGTGAGGCTGCCAGTTCGGACCAAAAATCAGCTGAAAAATATGTGAAGGAATTCAAGGATTACATAGACAGTGAAGACTTGAAAACCTGAACAAGTGTTTAATTGCGACAAAACAGGCCTGTTTTGGAAGAAATTGCCAGCAGGACCTACATTACTCAGGAGGAAAAGGCACTCCCTGGACATAAGCCTATGAAAGACAGGCTTACCTTCTGATGTGTGCCAATGCTAGTGGTGATTGCAAAGTGAAGCCTTTATTGGTGTATCACTCAAACTCCAGAGCATTCAGGCAAAAGAATATCCTCAAGGCTAATTTGTGTGTGTGTGGAGGGCAAACAGTAAGGCATGGGTCACTAGGACTTTTCTATGACTGGTTACATCATGCATTTGCCCCCAATGTGAAAAATTACCTAATTGAAAAGAAATTAGACCTTAAGTGCCTCCTGGTATTAGACATTGCCCCTGGGGACATGAGCTTCATTAAGGTCAAGTTTTTGCTCCTAATACCACTCCTCTCATGCAGCCCATGGACCAGCAGGTCATTACCAACTTCAAGAAACTGTACACAAAAGCTATGTTTGAAAGTGCTTTGAAGTGACCACAGACACTCGATTGACTCTAAAAGAGTTTTGGAAGGATCACTTTAATATCCTCAATTGTGTAAACCTTATAGGTAAGGCTTGGGAGGGAGTGACTAAGAGGACCTTGAACTCTGCTTGGAAAAAAACTGTGGCCAGGATGTGTAGACAAAAGGGATTTTGAAGGGAATCCTATGCCAGTTGAGGAATCCATTGTGGCATTGGGAAAGTCCTTGGGGTTGGAGGTTAGTGGGGAGGATGTGGAAGAGTTGGTGGAGGAGGACAATGACAAACTAACCACTGATGAGCTGCTAGATCATCTTCAACAGCAAGAGGCCAGACCTGAGGAAACTGCTTCGTAGGAGGGGATAGAGAAATTGAAGAAGTTGCCTACTTCAAAGATTAAGGAAATGTGTGCAAAGTGGCTTGAAGTACAAACCTTTTTTGATGAAAATCACCCTGACACAGCTACTGCAAGCCGTGTTGGCAACCTGTACAATGACAGTGTTGTGAACCACTTTAGGAAAGTCATAAAGGAGCGAGAGGTACAGGCCTCTATGGACAGATATGTTGTGCGACAGAAGTCCAGTGACTCTCAAGCTGGTCCTAGTGGCATTAAAAGAAGAAGGGAAGTAACCCCGGAAAAGGACTTGCTACCTCAAGTCCTAATGGAAGGGGATTCCGCTTCTGAACATTAACACCATCCACACACTCCCCTCCTCCCATCCCATCAATCATCACCAGATCTTCATTAAAGGTAAGTGTCATGTATTCTATTGTTAGTAGAGTACTACAAACTGTGCATGTCTTCTTCAGTTTGTGTGCATTAAACTTAATATTTCATGTAGTAAAAATTTTTTTTTTCATACTTTTGGGTGTCTTGCACGGATTAATTTGATTTTCATTATTTCTTATGGGGAAAATTGATTCGCTTTTCGATAATTTTGGTTTACGATGAGCTCTTAGGAACGGATTGATATCGCAAACTGGGGGTCCACTGTACTTGTTTACTGACGTCTCAGACTTAAATAACAAAAAGGCACAATACCGTGACTGGAACGATACACAAATAACCCGCACATAAAAGAGAGAAGCTTACGACGACGTTTCGGTCCGACTTGGACCATTGACAAAGTCACTTTGTCAATGGTCCAAGTCGGACCGAAACGTCGTCGTAAGCTTCTCTCTTTTATGTGCGGGTTATTTGTGCCTCAGACTTACAACGTCCTCTGACCAGTATGCATACCTAAATAATGTATATTAGAGCTGATTTCCTCTGTTCTGTTTATTACAATATATAGTACACTACTATATAAACATGAAAAAATATTCCAGAAATTTATATAAATGGTGCAAAGGTGATGTATGAAAACAGTATAAAAAATGGTCGATACAAACTCACTATGATTAGGAACGGAACTTCATCGTTAAGGGAGGAGAGGTTGTATTACTAAATTTAAGAGGAGAAACTTGCGTTTTTCCTTTTGGGCCACCCTGCCTCAGTGGGATATGGCCAGTTTGTTGAAAGAAAGAAATGTACTGTACTGTGTATATATATATATATATTATATATATATATATATTTATATATATGTCCCTCTCCCCTTCTCTCCCTCTCCCCTTCTTTCCCTTTCCCCTTCTCTCCCTTTCCCCTTCTCTCCCTCTCCCCTTCTCTCCCTCTCCCCTTCTCTCCCTCTCCCCTTCTCTCCCTCTCCCCTTGTCTCCCTCTCCCCTTGTCTCCCTCTCTCCTTCTCTCCCTCTCCCTCCCTCTCTTTTCAGTGATTAGGTTTTTAATCACCCACAATGTGATCTTCATGGAATCTATTTGAGTTTTCAGTTTTTCCATTGCATTCAGTTTGCATTAAATTCCAAAGTCCATTTTTTCTTCATTTGTTCATGTTATAAAATTCTTCTTGCAAGGCTTTACAGTTGTTGATATCTTACTCTGTAGAAGATTTCTGCATCATCCTCAAACACTTTCATGCAATTTTTCTTTCTGGTAGGTTATCTAAATTAATACCTGTAACTATTAAAACAAGTATTTAATATTGTTTTTGTGGGGCTCCTCTACTAACATGTTGTAAATCACAGAACAGGTGGAGCTCAAATGCTTGGCAATGAATCCTAAAACTGCCCTACCCCACTCATTTTACGATTTATTTGCAATCATGTTTACTTTGATTTCATGAAATATGTTGTGATAACGTTTTTTTTCATGTTCGTTGCATTTTATTTCAAACAAATAATTTTGTGTCATTGTAAAAGTTTGTCCTTTATTGCTCATATATTCTGTAATTTCTTGATAGCCTTACCCCAAACTATATACAGTACAGTAATTGTAACTCACAACCTGTGTTATATTCACTTAGGTTTTAACTCATAAGCTGTATCTGATGTACTAGTATGCAGGTGCTTCTGTGTGTCCAGCATACTAGTACACACAGTTTTTCATACTTTCAGATCTTCCGTCTACCAATATTTTTGACTTGTGCACACCTCTTTGGGTCTTTTTTAGTCTATTCATACATTTGAAAAAAGTCAAAAGTCAGGAAAGTCCACTCAGTTGTCTTGATGCTGGCATGTCATGAGATATTTAAATAAGAAATCTATTTCTTACAGTCACGATGAGTGCCAGTCGTTGCCAAATGGCTGTGGTAACCGATTCTTCTCTGTAGTATTCCGTGCGGGTCTCAAGAAAAGACGGGAAGAAAAGGCTGTTGATAAGAAGTTGATGGCTAGGATGGCATGGAAAAATGCTGTGATGAAGGTGAGTGGATACCTATACTATAGTGCCTAAAATGAGGTGATTATTTTATATCTCTACCAAGAAGGTTGGATGGATACCTGTATTACGGTAGCCTTATTAAAGTGATTGAAGTTATGTTATTGTAATATGTCTCATGAGCAGTCACCTCTGCTGTGTAGAACTCCTTTTAAGAAAGCTATTATCCAATAAATGTTATGTAGCCAATATGTGCAGCATATTGTTTTGATATTGGTCACATGCTTCATAAGAAAACCGGTTGGAAATGCTGTACTGGTAATAGAATTTGCATCAAAATAAAAGAAAAAATTACATTTTATATTAAAATGTAGTACATTTGTAGTAAATAACATGAGTTTGAACCCTCTGCAGGGGATATAAACATAATACTCTAAAAAGCAGCAGTGGATCATAGAATGCAGGTTAGATTTATAAATAAAACTGATTTTTCTGTGAAATTGGAGTAAATGCACGATAACCAGTTTACATCATTTTAATGTAAACTTTCTCAGAAACTCCAAATAAAGTTCAGTTTTTGATTCTGTATTTTTTCTTGTAAGACTTTAATATTTGATATTCTGAAAATCCAGTTTAGCATTCACTAGTGCTTCTGATAAGAAAACAATGTCCTTATAAAGGATGCAGTGCAGAGCCCTGTAGAACATTGCAGGGTTTCAAATGACCAAGATACAGTAAAGTATTTCAGTGCTGCATTGTATGCATTTGCTGTATGTGATTGGCACTGTTCCAGTGTGCTGAAAATTCTTATTATGCTGAATTAAGTATCGATGGCCTGATTGAGCTAAGTATAGTTGCTACAGGCAACTGTAAATCCATGATACATGTTTTGTCCCTTTCTGTTTCTGCTGTAACTAAGTAATTTCCTGCATCTTCATATCTTCATCTTTATTCACTCATTCCACAAAACTAAAGATCATTGAATCAGTTTGAAATAGTAAGTCATACTTTTAAAATTGTACCATTTGTTCATTAGCTACCTTTCTTATTGTACAAATGATTGTAGTTAACTGCATAAAAAATTCTGCTTAATATTCTATGGTGTTAAATACTAGTGGCTTTCTTTTGTGCCTACCAGTGTTTTATTATATGTAAACTACATTATTTTGTACTGCATAAAGAATTAACAGTTTTTATTATATAATGGTAACAGTAAATGCCAATATTGGCAGTTTGGAGGGATATGTTGTGTATCTTTATACGTATATGCTTCTAAACTGTTGTATTCTGAGCACCTCTGCAAAAACAGTGATTATGTGTGTGTGGTGTGAAAGTGTTGAATGATGATGAAAGCATTTTCTTTTTGGGGATTTTCTTTCTTTTTTGGGTCACTCTGCCTCGGTGGGAGACGGCCGACTTGTTGAAAAAAAAAAAAAACAGTAAATGCTCATGATAAAAATTATAATCCTAAAAGCAAAAATACTGTACACTACGATGTTGTTGATGATATGATGATAAAATTATTTTCACATGTTACATAGATTTTAGAAAACTGTGTAACATATGGTTATGCAGAACATTTTGGGCAAGCTTTAACCTATCCCTGGACTAGTACAACATAACAGAATGTAAAAAAAAAAAAATTCACATGCATTTATACAAAGATATTAAGGATGTACATAGAATAAAGGTAATTCTAATAAGCATAACAAATACAGTTGACCTCTGGTTTTCATAATTAATCCATTCCAGAAGGTTGGCCAAAATCCGAAATGACCAAAAACCTAAGTAATATTTCTCATAAGGAATAATGTAAATCCAGTTAATCCATTTGATACACAAAAATATTAGCATAAAAATACATTTTATAGAGAACAACCATAATTTTACATACAGAAAACAATGAGAAATAAATATAAGTAACTATTTTAATGATAAATGAACATTACATACCTTTATTGAAGACTCATGTTGGTGAGTAGTATTTATTTGTAGTCCCAGGCAGACTACATCTCAGTGCATACCTACCAGCCACATACACTGCGGCCTACAGCCATATTATTACCATTGTCATACCATGTTCACTGAGTTTAATAATTTCTAACAGCTACCTTTAGATGCCATCGTAAACAAAGGGAGAAGTAATGAATAATTCATGCCAAGAATTGTAAACAGAAGATTGTGTATAAAGGGCGGTTACTTGGCAAATGCAGATTCATACAGTTTTCTCTAATGCTGGACCAGAGAAAACCTAATGTTTACCCTCCACTGCACATAAGCATTGCAAGTTTATATGCTATGCAATGTGTGTCTTATATAATTTTGAAGAAAATATCATAGATGGATTAATGAAAATGTCTATATTACGTAAAATAAGACATTTAATGTGCCCAAGAGTGATCATTATTACGTACTCTTAGTACATATTACTATAGCGTTAAGGCTTGAGGGACACTGAGTGAACGAGTAACAAAGGCATGTTTATATGCTATGTAATGTGTTTCTTACATAATTTTGAAGAAAATATCATAGCTGGATTAATGAAAATGTCTATATTAATGTAAAATAAGACATTTAATGTGCCCAAGAGTGAGTCACGAATGTATGAGCAGCCCAGGTGCATGCGTTTGGTACCAATGATTTTTGAGGGGATGTACAAAACCCAGGGGGAAACTTCGCCAAAAAGAGTGCTCGAAATCTGAATTGTATAATTTCCGCACCAACCGAAAACCGGGGTCCACTGCATATATGTCAGTAGATTAAAAGTGTGGCATAATAAACAATTTCTATGATTGTAAGAATAATAATAGAGTAATAAATAAGTAATAGTACTGAGTAATTCTTTTTCAGGCTCGCACTCTTGGGGATCCTTGGGAGAAGTTTCATCTGGATACATACAAAACCGAGAAAGCTAAACGTCACCGGTACAATGCCATGAGGCAGAATTGGGTTGTTGATGAGGTTGTGGTCAAGATGGAGAATGAACCTTTCAACCACGGAGCTATGAGAGAATGCTTTCGCATGTATGTTAAAGAAAAACATTTTGTTGTTAGCAAAGCTGTTTGTCTATCTCATATTTTTGAAATTACAGTGCTGTATTTTTGTTTTACATGCTTGTACTTTAATGATAATACTGGGAAGCCTTGATTTATGCTGTGAATTAGTTCAGGAAATTACTATGTTGAAAAGTCTTGGTGCTGAAAAATATTTTGTTCAAAAATTTTTCAGTCCAAAAATGTGTTTAAAAAATGTACTTACATATTACTTCACTGTAGTACATGTAATACCTAAAAATATTATGTAATACAGCCTTTCCTCACTTAATGACGGAGTTCCATTTCTAAGACCATGTCGGTAAACGAATTCATTGCTAAGCAAGGAGCACACTACAATCGTAGTGGGTTTGTGTCAACCATCTTTGATATTGTTTTAATGTCACTTTTGCACCATTTATAACATTTTTAGTATATTTTTAAATGTTTATACAGTAGTGTACTGTATATTGTAATAAACAGAATAGAGGAAATCAGCTCTAATGTATATTATTTAGGTATGTATACCAGTCAGAGAGCCCGTCGTAAGTCTGAGTCATTGGTAAACGAATGCATTGCTAAGTGAGGCGAGGCTGTACTTACTAAATATAAATCAAAATGATTTGTCTCAGGGTTTTATGGAAAAATAGAGTTTTTGCATGGTACATTGTGTGCAAAATGTTGGTGGGCATGCTTAAATTAACTAACTTGCACGAAGTATATAATCCAGTTGTATATACTGTATATTTAATACATGTGGAATGATGGCAGTATCTTCAGTTATTTATAGCAAGATATAAAAATGTGTGTGATCAGCTTGTCTGTCTCTCACTCACATGTGTATAGGGATAGTTGTACAAGGACTGTTCATGGGTGTTTCTTGTCACCCATGTGTGTGTGTATGGGATGGATGGTTAGGTAACTATAAAAAGAGAGCCCATGGCTATCTCACTACATGTGTGTAGGATGGGTGGGTTGGTTATATAAGGACAGTACATGGCTGTGCCTCACCCACGTACTGTGTTTTCATGCAGTGCTAAAGAAAATGCCCCACTTTCATCTTTATTGACAATCTCAAACTTGGAGCATTAACCCACTATTTCCAGCAAAATACAAGCTGCAGATGTGTTGAGCTCAGTTTACCTAAACATTCACCAATGATTTCTATATCCAACCTAAACATGCCATAGTTTGGGAGGCATGTTGACATGATCACTCTAATATCACAGTTCAGATGGCCCTCCAGACCACAACATCCTCACCCCTCCTTCAGAATGCAAGCACTGTATTCCCCACCTTCAAGACTCTAGTCCATCTTAACTGTTTTCCCTGAATCCCTTCATGTGTGTTACCTTGCTTACACTCCAACAACACATCAAATCACAAAACTCGTGTGCCTCCACTCACCCCTATCTAACACGCTCACACAAGCCTGTTGTATGTCCAAGAATCGTGTAGAATAAGTAATACAGCATTGCTTATTGGAATTGGCCTTTTAGGCATTTTTTAATTTGAATGACCAGGAGTTATATTATCATTATTAATTTTTTAAATATTTGGCTTTACACATGTTGAACATTTAACAAAGTAATATTAAATTGTGTGCCTAATTCAATCTCATTGGAATAGGTAGAAAAGCTTGAGCAAAATTAAAGAGTTCAGTCACAGCCTTGGTCATTATTTGTTCTCTTGTCAAAATATGATGTTTATAAACTTGTATACTTGTACAGGAAGAAATTGAGTAACTTCTCAAAGGATGATTGGATGCGTGCACACAACTATGTGGCCAAGCGGTATATGGATGAAGACACTCACAGGGAAACCTACTTTGATGATGTTAGACTCCAGGTCTGTGCTGCTGTTTGTTTTTTTGTTTGCCTTAGACACCCATTGTTGTGTCACAGATTCTTCTATCCAAACATCTCATTAGAACTTGAAAAATATTGAGAGAGAGAGATTAACCCTTTGAGGGTTTTGGACGTACTAGTACGTCTTACGCGCAGGGGTTTTTGACGTACTAGTACTGTACGCATAAATTCTAGCGCCGTCAAATCTCGCGGGAAAAGGCTGGTAGGCCTCCATATGAAAGAATGGGTCTATGTGGTCAGTGTGCACAGTATAAAAAAAATCCTGCAGCACACAGTGCATAATGAGAAAAAAAAAATTTTCACCATTTTTTTGGCATAAAACAGTGACTTTGCTCTGTATTTTCGTATGGTATTTATTGTTGTATTCTAGTTTTCTTGGTCTCATTTTATAGAATTAAATGCATATCACAGAAATTGAGATGATTTTCACCGGTTTTACAATGAAAAGTACCTTGAAATTGAGCTCAAAGTAGGAGAAATGTTCGATTTTTACCATAGTTCAAAAGTAAACAAATCATGCCAAGCGTCCAATACACGTCAACTGGTGAGTCTAACATTCTTTTGCAAGTGCGCCAATATGATTTATATCATTTTTTACACTAATGCAGTAGTCTGCATAACAGTAAATCTTCTATTTTTCGTGAGAATAAAAATTCAAAGTGGAAAGCAAAAGAATGTAAGAGGGGCCTTGAGACGTGACTAATGAACAGAAGAAATGTCATTTTAGTGTCAGGAATGTATTTCTTGTTTAAACCATACCCCCTGCCGGGATTGAACCCGCGGTCATAGAGTCTCAAAACTCCAGCCCGTCGCGTTAGCCACTAGACCAGCTAGCCACAATAAGATTCATCCAACTAGGTATATTTCTACACCATAGGAAGGTTAGCACAGGCACCTCTGTGACCACAAATGCAAGTTTTTACAGACAAATCTCCAGCTAGCGTGGCCGTGACGAACTCTAGCTCAAGTCCCTTCACTGCCGTCAACATGAGCTAGAGTTCGTCACGGCCACGCTAGCTGGAGATTTGTCTGTAAAAACTTGCATTTGTGGTCACAGAGGTGCCTGTGCTAACCTTCCTATGGTGTAGAAATATACCTAGTTGGATGAATCTTATTGTGGCTAGTTGGTCTAGTGGCTAACGCGACGGGCTGGAGTTTTGAGACTCTATGACCGCGGGTTCAATCCCGGCCGGGGGTATGGTTTATTTGCAATCGTGTCATTACGATTTCTTAAGTCAAGTTATTTCTTGTTTGTTCTGGACCCTATTCGGAAATTGGCATTTTTGAAATTTGTGTGAAATTGGCAAAATTGCTAAATTCTGACCACTGTACTGGATAGTTGAAAATGGTAAATGGGTGGTTTCTTGCACTCATTCAATAGAAAAAATGTAGTTCTAGCGAAATATTTATGTTTTTTGTCGACTAGTACAGAGGAATTGGCCGAAAATGGTTCTCAAATTGGGCAAAATCGCCAATGCGTAAACATCGCAGTAACTTCGCGAGAGCATAATTCTGTAAGTTTTCCATCAACTCACATAATTTTGGTGTAATTATGATCGGGAAAAGATTCTCTATCTTTTCATAAGAAAAAATTTTTTTTTTTTTTTTTTAAATTTGGCCGACCCTGAGAACGAGTTTCTGAGAGGGCCTGTCAACCATCAAAGGGTTAAAGAGGGTTTCAAAAAGTAGTGACTTAAGTGAGAAAATATAGAGAAAAAATGAAGAGTATGTGTGAATGAGTATCTCTTCTGACAAACTATTTCACTGAATGCACCTATCACAGGTGATGTAAAATTGCAATACTGTACATGGGAGAAATTTATTTTCAGTTGTCAGAATATATATTAATATTTAGAATGTATAAAACATGTTGTGGTAGATACATAACTTTCAGATGCAGCAATCCCTCTAATTAACGAACTAATAGGAGGGAGGGGGTTCTATGATATTGCCGATTGTCTGAACCTTCTGAATTCTGAAATTTATTTTTCATGATCATAACATACAGACAAAGTTCTGAATCAGCAGACTTGGTCCACCTATGCAGAAGACTATTGGATACTAAGAATACTGATATTGTAACCTGCAGTACTACAGTACAGTATTGTGCTATGTAGTTTTTTTTTTTTTTTTTTTTTTTTTTTAACAAGTCGTCCGTCTCCCACCGAGGGAGGGTGACCCAAAAAGAAAGAAAATCCCCAAAAAGAAAATACTTTCATCATCATTCAACACTTTCACCTCATTCACACATAATCACTGTTTTTGCAGAGGTGCTCAGAACACAACAGTTTAGAAGCATATACGTATAAAGATACACAACATATCCCTCCAAACTGCTAATATCCCGAAACCCCTCCATTAGAGTGCAGGCATTGTACTTCCCATTTCCAGGACTCAAGTCCGGCTATATAAAAATAACTGGTTTCCCTGAATCCCTTCACTAAATATTACCCTGCTCACACTCCAACAGATCGTCAGGTCCCAAATACCATTCGTCTCCATTCACTCCTATCGAACACGCTCATGCACGCCTGCTGGAAGTCCAAGCCTCTCGCCAACAAAACCTCCCTTACCCCTTCCTTCCAACCTTTTCAAGGATGACCCCTACCCCGCCTTCCTTCTCCTACAGATTTAAATGCTCTCCATGTCATTCTACTTTGATTCATTCTCTCTAAATGACCAAACCACCTCAACAACCCCTCTTCTGCCCTCTGACTAATACTTTTATTAATTCCACACCTTCTCCTAATTTCCACACTCCGAATTTTCTGCATAATATTTACACCACACATTGCCCTTAGACAGGACATCTCCACTGCCTCCAACCGCCTCCTCGCTGCTGCATTCACAACCCAAGCTTCACACCCATATAAGAGTGTTGGTACTACTATACTTTCATACATTCCCTTCTTTGCCTCCATAGATAACGTTTTTTGACTCCACATATACCTCAATGCACCACTTACCTTTTTTCCTTCATCAATTCTATGATTAACCTCATCCTTCATAAATCCATCCACCGACACGTCAACTCCCAAGTATCTGAAAACATTCACTTCTTCCATACTCCTCCTCCCCAATTTGATATCCAATTTTTCTTTATGTAAATCATTTGATACCCTCATCACCTTACTCTTTTCTATGTTCACTTTCAACTTTCTACCTTTACACACACTCCCAATCTCATCCACTAACCTTTGCAATTTTTCTTCAGAATCTCCCATAAGCACAGTATCATCAGCAAAAAGTAACTGTGTCAATTCCCATTTTGAATTTGATTCCCCATAATTTAATCCCACCCCTCTCCCAAACACCCTAGCATTTACTTCTTTTACAACCCCATCTATAAATATATTAAACAACCATGGTGACATTACACATCCCTGTCTAAGACCTACTTTTACTGGGAAGTAGTCTCCCTCTCTTCTACGCACACTAACCTGAGCCTCACTATCCTCATAAAAACTCTTTACAGCATTTAGTAACTTACCACCACCTATTCCATATACTTGCAACATCTGCCCATTGCTCCTCTTTCCACTCTATCATATGCCTTTTCTAAATCCATAAATGCAATATAAACTTCCCTGCCTTTATCTAAATACTGTTCACATATATGTTTCAATGTAAACACTTGATCAACACATCCCCTAACCACTCTGAAACCTTCTTGCTCATCCGCAGTCCTACATTCTGTCTTACCTCTAATTCTTTCAATAATAACCCTACCGTACGCTTTTCCTGGTATACTCAATAAACTTATTCCTCTATAATTTTTACAATCTCTTTTGTCCCCCTTTCCTTTATATAAAAGGACTATACATGCTCTCTGCCAATCCCTAGGTACCTTCCTCTCTTTCATACATTTATTAAACAAAAGTACCAACCACTCCAACACTATATCCCCCCCTGCTTTTAACATTTCTGTCATGATCCCATCAGTTCCAGCTGCTTTACCCCCTTTCATTCTACGTAATGCCTCACGTACCTCCCCCACACTTACATTCTGCTCTTCTTCACTCCTGAAAGATGGTATACCTCCCTGGCCAGTGCATGAAATTACACCCTCCCTTTCTTCCTCAACATTTAAAAGTTCCTCAAAATATTCTCGCCATCTACCTAATACCTCCCTCTCCCCATCTACTAACTCCCCTACTCTGTTTTTAACTGACAAATCCATACATTCCCTAGGCTTTCTTAACTTGTTTAACTCATTCCAAAATTTTTTCTTATTTTCATCAAAATTTCTTGACAGTGCTTCTCCCATTCTATCATCTGCTCTCCTTTTGCACTCTCTCACCACTGTCTTCACCTTTCTTTTACTCTCCATATACTCTGCTCTTCTTATAAGACTTCTGCTTTGTAAAAACCTCTCATAAGCTAACTTTTTCTCTTTTATCACACCCTTTACTTCATTCCACCAATCACTCCTCTTTTCTCGTGCCTCCATCCTCCTATAACCACAAACTTCTGCCCCACATTCTAATACTGCATTTTTAAAACTCATCCAACCCTCTTCAACCCCCCCACTACTCATCTTTGCACTAGCCTACCTTTCTGCCAATAGTCGCTTATATCTCACCCGAACTTCCTCCTCTCTTAGTTTATTCACTTTCACTTCCCTCCTACTTGTTGTTGCCACCTTCCTCTTGTCCCATCTACCTCTTACTCTAACTGTAGCTACAACTAAATAATGATCCGATATATCAGTTGCCCCTCTATAAACATGTACATCCTGGAGCCTACCCATTAACCTTTTATCCACCAATACATAACCTAAGCGAAACAAAGCTGAAGGGGGTAGGGGAGTTTCGGTGGGGGTAAATAAATGGGATTAAATCTGGAGTATCTGAGAGAGTTAGAGCAAAGGAAGGGGTAGCAGTAATATTGAAGGATCAGTTATGGAAGGAGAAAAGAGAATATGAATGTGTAAATTCAAGAATTATTCAAATTCAAATTCAAACTTTATTCTCTATAAGT